TTAAATAGAAGATAAAGAATGTCTTATCTATACATTAATATAATTTGAAGCATCAATAAAAGGATCAATAGAAAGCTTCATTCCAAATACATATGGTCTCAGTAAAGGATAGATTTATTTTTGTATAAACAAATGTGTGTGAAGTTTATATAAATACAAACTAGTTGATAGAGAAGATATAATAGAAGTCAGGTAAATTACTTGATTTAAAATGCCATACATGAACTTAAGTTTTGAATATTTAAGCATCGAGAGATGAAAATAATTGCCCACAGTAGCCTCTCTCTGTAAAGACCCATTGAATATTTTAATATGTATTTCACTTAAAAACCAGCATGGTTCCGTTTTCAAAACATTTTGATATTTAAAACAGGGAGATTTAATGTATGAGTTCATTATAGAGGTCAAAGATGGCATGCTTATTGACATGCTTATTAAAAAAAAGCATCTTATTGACATTTTCCTTTTCAAAATTCAGCATTGAGATTCAATTAATCCTTAGCTACTGAAAAAATAATAACTATAAAAGATCAACACTAATTTCTAACACAGTTTCACAGTCTTTTGCATTCCGTCTTAAATTAAATGTTGAAATTAAAGTAGGGCTATATTTAGAGTTTCTGAGAATCTATACTGTTTCTTGAAGTTTTAAGACTCCAGATATAACTTAGTTGTAATAAACACAATAAAAACCAATCAGAGCTGAAGAAGCTTCTGGGATGAGAAGTGAAACGTCTTCAAAGAAAAACAAGAAAGTCCAGTTGCCTTTTGAAAAAGCACGTTTGGGAAACCATGACCTGGATGACTGAGAATCTCCATAGACAATAGAAACTAATGTAATGATTTAATTGCTGTTTATGTATTGTCCACCTCTTTCAGTAGGGCATAATGGAGAAACCTTAAGTATGTCTATTGAGAACAAACCTCAATTTTATTTATTTAGAATTTATATAAGAAAATTTCATGGGATTGCAAGTTGATTTTTTAATAACCATAGTTTGATTATTCAAAAACACTATAACTATATTTTGTTGATAGTACTGCTTTAAGAAGTGGATACTGCATTCAGAAATGTTTTCTCTTGTTTCTACTAGCAGTTTTCATAATCAGTTCATATAAAAACTAAAGAAGTAAACGATCAAAGGAGCTGCATCAAAGCTTTAGTGAATGTTTAGATATTATTTACAGTTAAATGAAGTACTCATGTCTTAAAACGAAATTCAGAATCAGTAAGAACAGTAAGAACAAATGAAGGATCTCTTCAAACTGGAATGAAGTCTCTAATTCAGCATTTTCCTTCACACAGTGACCAGCTAGGACAGTGGTGGCGAACCTATGGCACGCGTGTCAGAGGCGGCACTCGAAGCCCTCTCTGTGGGCACGCGTGCCATGCCCCAGAGATGGCAACTGTCCTCTTCTACCAGCCGCCCACTAACTCGCCGAGGTCCCACGTGGCCGGATGCATCCCAGCACCCATGCCTTGCCCCTGCCTTGCCTTGCCCTGTGACATGGCGCCCCCTCCCTGTCTCGCCTTGCCTCGCCTCACCCCACAGAACCAGCCTCCTGCCCACCACCCCACCCGCCAGAGACCCCTGGATCTCCCCCAATCCTGCCTGGCCCCCACAGGCGTCCCTCCCCATGAGCAACATTGGGATGGCCACGCCCACCCATCTGCCATGACCACTGTAGCCACGCCCACCCAGCGGGCCACGCCCACTCAGCACCCAGCAATACATAAGTGGATTTTGGGTTGACATTTGGGCACTCAGTCTCTAAAAGGTTCGCCATCACTGAGCTAGGAGAACCAACTCATAAATAAAGTGTGAAGATAAGAATTTTTGCCAGCTTTTGGTTTGCACCTGGCGCTTACTGCCTCTGATTCTAGAAATGCCATAAAAACATGATGGCTGATAGAGACAGATAAGAGCATCTTCCAAAAATTGTCTGTAATTTTCTTTAAAAAAAATATTCTGGAAGCCACTGAAATAGAAGGCACAAAAGGAGGTTATACCGTAAATGCTTTCGATAACACAGAATATCCTTTTAAAGCTATCTGTTAGGTTTCATACAGGCACAGCTGTAAATCTGAGCTCTCCAGATATTTAATCCCATATTCAGGAATCAGCGTACTTGGCAGAAAGCTCATAGACTTGACTCAGCAAGATTAGTCTGTTCATTGCAGACAAGAGTAAAGGTATATTCACATAGGAATCTGCCCACTGCAGAACACCGAAATTAAACTCAATGTGTAGATCTGTCCTCCAGGGTTTTAAGTGCCAGCCTTTTTCTTCTCTTGGCTGTTCTTTAGATGCCTTTGGAAGGCACCTGATGTACATTGAAATAACAGTTGTTTTTAGCACAGGAACAAATGGTTCCTACCATGCAGCCTTATTAATAGCATTATAAGCCAGCAGACCTCTCTACATCTTTACTATAGCATATCCTGTAATAGAGTTATATCTTATATAAACAGCTATTTTCCGTTGAATTCTCAGTAGAGTAATTTTACCGGAAAAGTCCAAGTTCCGTGAAAGACGAAGAGCCCTTCTTCTACTTTTTGGATTTTTAAATTCAAAAGCACCCGATGATTTAGCTTGATAGTGGGATTGCTTACATAAATTAGAAGGGAGGAAAGTGGCAAAAAAGGATTCAGATATTGCCTCATCATTTTTCATTTTGAAATCCTGCAGGCATACCAATACATACACTTTCTACCACCACATTAGCAGCTGTGTGAACCTTTTATCTCCTACAGGCGTGGGGTATGTCCAGCCATAAATCTTATTTAATTCTACTGTTCTTATCCTATTGCTTCATCCTATTGTTTAGCAGACTTTTGGCTATAATTTTGCAAGATCGAGAAAATAGAGATACAGGCTGTTTTTTTTTTTGTATTTGGCAGGTTTTTCAACAAATATCTCTTAAAAGTTTTGTTTTGCTTGACAGGCCCGTTTTCTTTCTTCTTAATTTTTGGACCAGGTATGATTGGAGCCAATGTGAAAGGACATAACGTGCCCTGTGAAAACCAGCCAATTGCTTCCCGATTGGCTGTAATATGTGGGACATCATCATGCCACATGGCGGTAAGTTCACGGTAGTAAATTAACAACTGCGTATAGTATAGCTGATGAAAAATGAACCTTTTAACATCTTTTAATATCATTTATACTCTGTTTTGAATTGTGAGGATCTTGAAGCTATTGTTACCTTCACAGGTTTATATATCATCATGAATTTGCCATAAAAAAGCAGCTATCATAATAGTAGATAACCAGTACTGTGGAAAAAGCCCAAAATATAAAAGCAGTGTTAAAAATTATTCTACTCTGACTTTAACTGGGCATTATGAAATTATAGCTGGGGACTTGGACCCTGAGTAACCCTTGATGAGAATGACGCTACTCTATAATGGAATATTCAGTGTCTTTAGAAAAGCCCCACAGACTTTTATTTCTCCCACCTCCTTACCTAATCAATATAAATCTTTCTTTCTTTGAGTGCTCTAATGATCTATAAAATTTTGAGACAGATTGTGGCTCCAAAAGAGGCAGGGTAAGCCATTTTTGCTTCCATAATTTTTCTCAGTGAATTAGTGCGAAAGCTTTTCCCTGGAGTTGTAATCTCAGCTCAAGAGTGTCTCTTTTTAAAATTAATATTGTTAAGCCTGAAATCAATCAATTTTGTGACTAGATTTTCTATCATTTTTGATTCATTTAGAAATAATTTATGTAAACTGAATCATTGTATGAAATGTAATAAAATTGACGTATATGAAGCAAAAATGGTTAGGTGTACACATTCTCTACTAATTATAGTGTAAACATTTGGTATATCTTTATATACATTAAATGGGTAGTATAAATTAGAATTTTGTAAACTGGTATTTGTAGTCACATATATACTGTATGGTTGCATGCAGAAAAAAAACTATAATAAGGGATTGCTGTCAACAATAGTTTAGTACCTTAGTATTCAATTATAAAGAAAATAATTTTGATCCAGCTGTTTAGATATATGAGTTTTTGTATGAACTGTAGTTCCTAGCAAAGGAAAAAATGAGTCTACGTGTGCCCTGGATAGTTTTGTGGTAGTGGGAAATTCTTTTAAACTCTTTTGAACTCAGTTTGGAATAAACCCAGGCCAAATAAATCCATCTGGAATCATTTTGTTGTCTTATCCCTTTTTCATCTTTCTTTTCTTATGGTCCTATCTCAAACTCATGAGGACAGTAAACCGGAGAGCTGGTAGCATTGAAATTTTGGACTTGAGGCTTGAGTCTTTTCCTAAGTATGCTGGCAAGAAACAAAGGCTAAGTGTTTTGAGCATTTAAATGCTGAGTATTTCTCTAATAATACTGTATTTTCCGGCGTATAAGACGACTTTCTAAACCCTGAAAATCTTCTCAAAAGTCGGGGGTCGTCTTATATGCCCAGTCATCTTATATGCCGGAAAATACGGGTATTCTATTTTATTCCTTTACACATGTGGTTTGGCATATTACTCATCAAATTTTCTCCCCCCCCCTCTCTCGCTCAAACTCTATATTTTAACTGGAAAAGTTGGGGGTCGTCTTATACGCCCAGTCGTCTTATACGCCGGAAAATACGGTATATCTATGTGACTGCTAGGAGTCAACACCAAACATTTCTTTGGTAGCACATAATCATCATAATGAATTTCTCTTAAAGCAAGTTGTTTGGTAGGGGAAAAAAAAGAACATAGCTTTCATCGGCACATGTTATATATCACCCTATATATAATGGATAATTAGCATTGTGTAACAATTGCTATTGGTAAGGTTGCTGACTTCTTGCTCCAGGTGGGCCAGTAGAATTAATTGCATTGTCAGAAGAGTCATTATGGTTAATTAATTAATCTGTTCATACATCATATTTATATAGCTACCCATCTCACAGATTTATGAATCTGGGTGTCATACAATAAAAAAGACAGTCATAAAAACTAATAATTAAAAATGCAACAGTTAAAACGCAAGGTTACTAATATCTGTTATCTTTTTTGCGTACTTAATTTGCCTACATGCTTTCAATGTTATTAAAAACAGAATAAGACATATTGCAGTAAGTCTACATCATGTTAGTAACCTTACACGTTGGCCCCCAAATGAATTTGTCCACAGCATATAAGGAACGGCTGCTGGAATTGGGTATGTCTAGTTTGATGAAGAGAAGGACGAGAGGGGACATGATAGCAGTGTTCCAATATCTCAGGGGTTGCCATAAAGAAGAGGGAGTCAAGCTATTTTCCAAAGCACCTGGAGGCAGGACAAGAAGCAACGGGTGGAAACTAATCAAGAAGAGAAGCAATCTAGAACTAAGGAGAAACTTCCTGACAGTGAGAACAATTAACCAGTGGAACAACCTGCCTCCAGAAGCGGTGAATGCTCCAACACTGGAAGTTTTTAAGAAGAGACTGGACAGCCATTTGTCCGAAATGGTTTAGGGTTTCCTGCCTGAGCAGGGGGTTGGACTTGATGACCTTCAAGGTCCCTTCCAACTTTACTATTATTATTATTATTATTATTATTATTATTATTATTATTATTATTATTATTATTATTATTATTATTATTATTATTATTATTATTCTCATGATATAAAGAAAAAATGGCCTAAACAAGTAATACTGTAGCAGCACAGATGTAAATAGACTGGGATTTCTTGATTTTGCTGCAGGGCATAGTATGTGGACCGGTGGGTTAAGATTGCCCTATTAGAATTTATACTGTATATATTAATGCCTTCTGTGCTGCAGAAGCCTTCCAATAGCATTCTTATCCTTTTGATTAGACTAGCCAAGCCACAGCAATTAAGAATGGGATATACGTAAATCTGTGAGCCATTATTTATTTACAGGTAGTCCTTGACTTACAACAGTTTGTTTAGTGACCGTTCAAAGTTACAATGGCACTGAAAAATGCGTCTTATTACCGTTTTTCACAGTTATGACCTTTGCAGCATCTCCATCATCATGTGATCAAAATTCAGATGCTTGGCAACCGGTTCATTTTTATGACCGTTGCTGTGTCCCAAAGTCATGTGATCACCTTTTGCGACCTTCTGACAAGCAAAGTCAATGGGGAAGCCAGATTCGCTTAACAACTGGGTTACTAACTTACCAATTCTAGGAGGCTCACAAGTGTCCATAGGTACCAGTTATTTACCCCCAATCATAACTGGACCATTGTTATAATTGAAATTCTTCTTAAAGTAATTCATATGTGAGGCCATAATGTTGTACACAACAACCTGAATAGAAGACCACCGAACACACTTTTAGGATTGGACTATAAATACGTTCCGGCCTTAATGTAACTTTTGCCCACCTTACTTCATTGTAATAAGCAATGCAATTTTCCATTGGAGAAATCAATGGCAAATCTGGAGTGAATATTTAAAAGGCTTTTGGTTGAAGGATCCTTTTATCTGTACCTGTTTATACTGGGCCGAGGACATAGAGCAATTGTATATGTCTTTTTAATGAGATGTATATGCAGCTGCAGTTGGTTGAAATTAACTGTACCTTTTTTTAATTAGGTCTATAAAATGTAAGTTTATTATCCTCCATGTTTTTGTTAAAAATCATTCTATACATTTCTCCTTTGTATCCAGGGACCCTGAGGGTAATAGAGATGAATCATCAGATTTAATTTAATGCAGTAGGAGAGAGACCTGTGTGGTCAAGTTGGCATGAAACAGTGGCTTTGATCTGCTTCAGGTGCACTGAGCCCCAACCAGCCAGCAACAATAATATCTTTGTGAGATGATCAGAGCAGAGAATGAAATAGAGTGGGGGAGATGGGGGGGGGGGGGAAATGGCCTGAATGAAAATTCAAGGCTTTCCTTTGTTGTGGTTCTGGCAAGCGAAAAAGTCAACTGTCAGGAGAAATTCAGCAAACATAAAACAGGGTGAAAGTGCAATGGTCAAGTAATGGGCTTCTTTCAAAGAATCTTAACAAGAAAGTATTCAAGATAATTTGATGGGTTCCCATATTTTCCTACAAGTGTGGATGGGAAATGCTGTGGAAGAAGGGGGGGGGATTCAATGATAAGTGTTGGGACTCTTAATCTGATGAATAGGAACACTTCAGTGAGTTTATGTGCTTATAAAATTGTAATATTATACTAGATTTAAAAAAACACAAATCTTCTTAACTACCAACTAGCCAAAAAACCTCTGAAAATTAAATAAAAGAAAGTTTTCAACTTGTCCCAGTCATTGGGCTTTTAATCAATAACAGTTCTTAAAATTAATCCTCTGGGTGTTTTTTTTTAGTGCATTGATGTAAGGCATTCCCAAATTGATTACAGTTTACTAGGTAAGCTTAAAATTGCTAAAATTCTTCTTCCAGTCCAGCTCAAACACTGATTTTTTTTTTTAAAAAAAAATAGTATTCAACTAACACTGTATTCAAGGAACCAAGGATGGTTATATGGAATTAAATTTATTTTTCTTAGAACTATATAAATAGCTTTCATCCTCTCCTAATTTCCATATTGTTTCTTTGAATCTCATGCTTATGTTTTCTTCTAAGTGTGCATTTACAAAGTTCATGCTGACACAGACAGAAAAGGACAATTGTTAAATCATGCAATTTGTGCAGGCACTCCACCCAGTTTCTGAATTAGATCTGTGTTTTCAGTTTGGAGCTGATGACTTTTGGCCTGAAAATCTCGCATTTAACTTAATTTTCTCTGATTTTATCTCTTGGACTGTTAAAAGGTCCTCTTAAAGATCAACAGGATATAAGAACTGAGGGATTGCTTGGGTGAATCTGTGTATTATAAATATCCCCAAGGTTCTCAGTTTAGTTCAAAGGGATGTCCTTTGCCTGGTTTTGTTTATATATTTTTAGAAAACAAACTCCAAGCAATTGTGCATATTCTGGCTTGGTTGATTTGATTCTCCCAGCAACTCACACAGTGCTCTTTTTGCTCCACAATATCCACCCAAGCTGCCAGTTTTGTTTACACAAATAGAGTCTGGAGCACGTTTTCAGCCCTAGAGCTTGCACAGTACGTGTCTTTCCAGAACATCCTGGGGTGGAGACCGCAGAGGCATG